TGGTAAAGCCAGCATTGGGCATAATATGAGGCACAGCCAGTGGGGTAAGGTAGCCTTGGGCATTATACGAGACACAGCCAGTATGGTAAGGCCAGCATTGGGCATGATATGAGGCACAGCTAGTATGGTAAGACCAGCATTGGGCATAATATGAGGCACAGCCAGTGTGGTAAGCCAGCCTTGGGCATGCTATGAGGCAAAGCCAGTATGGTAAGGGCAGCATTGGGCATGATACGAGACACAGCCAGTATGGTAAGGCCAGCATTGGGCATGATATGCGGCACAGCAGGATGGTGAGGCCAGCATTGGGCATAATACGAGACACAGCCAGTATGGTAAGGCCAGCATTGGGCATGATATGAGGCACAGCCAGTATGGTAAGGCCAGCATTGGACATCATACGAGACACAGCCAGTATAGTAAGCCAACCTTGGGCATGATATGCAGCACAGTCAGTATGGTAAGGCCAGCATTGGGCATGATACGAGACACAGCCTGTATGGTAAGGCCAGCATTGGGCATGATACAAGACACAGCCAGTATGGTAAGGCCAGCATTGGGCATGATACGAGATACAGCCAGTATTGTAAGGCCAGCATTGGGCATGATACGAGACACAGCCAGTATGGTAAGGCCAGCATTGGGCATGATACGAGGCACAGTCAGTATGGTAAGGCTGGCATTGAGCACAATACGACACACAGCCAGGATGGTAAGCCCAGCATTAGGCATGATACCAGGCACAGCCAGTATGGTAAGGCCAGTATGGTCAATATATGAAGAAAAGGCATGGTATGGGTAAGGTACAGAAGGCAAGACCAAAGAAGTCTATTTTTACTGCATTGTATGTATCACTGATGAAAACATGTTGGATATGTTGTGGTTTGGTTTAGAAAGGTATTAACAGTCTGTCACTCTGTTGAAGGCACCGGTAGCACACTGGACATTATTGTAGTTGAAACAAACTATGAAGAATATATCATGCTATACACCGGCATTACCAAAGGCTTAGAAGTTAACACCATGGTGACTCTTTTTGGTAAGTAAATCCCCCTGGTCAGTATTTAAAGGAAAATGGACCTATTACCTGTGGATATCATTACCTGTGGAGATTTGTATATTGGTCCCCACAGAAAATGGCTTCAGGAACTTTGTTTGGAGGGCCTCTAACCAGGGCAGCATCTAGAGAATGTAGCTCCATGGAGAAATTCCAAAATGTTCCCCTTCCCTACATTCCAAATTCCATCCCAGCTGTCACATGTCTCTCCCCATCACTTCCCCTCTTCCTAAGTCTCTTTTTATCGCTCCCCTTTATTTTGTCCTTCCTCATCCTCTTACCTACCCAGGTCCTGTGGCGTCGACACACAGCATGAAGGTCTCTTGTGGCCATCTGTTCCTATGCCATCAATATTAAAGTGTGACCAGTCATGGAGAGTTCTGGTCTTTGCAGTCTTCTCATTGTTGCACTATTGCAGCCAGGCTCACAGAAGCCTCGGAGGCACAGTCCATGACCTTTTTGCCTGAGTATTCATTCAGTCCGCCCCTGTGGACTGGTAGTGCCATTGGTGGCGGTGGCATTTTAACAGCTGCCGGGTTTGTCCACCACTGGTCCATTGCCTAGCCGCAGATCACATTTGGACACCTGATACCTGTTTTTACACCATCGTATTGTGCTGAAATACAGAGACATAGTGCAGGCATTATAAAATTTGCAAAAATCCATTTCATGTAAAATGAGAATGTTTGCTGTGTTCAGTTTTTACCATGTACACTATAAAAGACTGAAGCATTTAAGCATATTCAATTTTTCTGAATTCAGGAAGAACCAAGGAAATGCGTCCAAAGCTGATAGAAAACTTCAAAAAGTTCTCCCTGGACCAAGGACTGAGTGAAGACAACATTCTCATCCTGCCTCACACCGGTAAGATTGATCTCCTTGGTCACAAACAACACTCAATCCCTATAATCCACATATAGTGTTTACTGACACCCAATCCATACATAATGTCTACAGATGCCTAATCCACACATAGTGTCTACAGACACCCAGTGCACACAGTGTCTACAGACACCCAATCCATACGTAGTGTCTACAGACACCCAATCCGCACAAAGTGTCTACGGACACTCAATCCACACAGAGTGTCTACAGACACTCAATCCACATATAGTGTCTACTGACACCCAATCCATACATAATGTCTACAGACGCCCAATCCACACATAATGTCTACAGATGCCCAATCCACACATAGTGTCTACAGACACCCAATCCACATGTAGTGTCTACAGACGCCCAATCTGCACAAAGTGTCTACGGACACTCAATCCACATATAGTGTCTACTGACACCCAATCCATACATAATGTCTACAGACGCTCAATCCACACATAGTGTCTACAGACACCCAATTCACATATATTGTCTACAGATACCCAAACCACACGTAGTGTCTACAGATGCCCAATCCGCACACAGTGTCTACAGACACCCAATCCACACATGGTGTCTACAGAAGCCCAATCCAAACATAGTGTCTACAGAAGCCCAATCCAAACATAGTGTCTACAGACACTTAATCCACACATACTGTTTAGAGAAGCTCAATCTACAATCCACTCATAGTGTCTACAGACAATCAACACACAGTGTCTACAGACACCCAATCCATACATAGTGTCTACAGAAACTTAATCCACACAGTGTCTAGAGAAGCTCAATCTACAATCCACACATAGTGTCTACAGACACCCAATCCACACATAGTGTCTGTAACGGATCACCTGGCACCCCAACTGGGTACCTCCGTTGAAGGATGCTCCTAGCGCTTCTTGAGGACTCCAAACACTGCAGCAGACACCACAACCACCGAACCGGAGAAGCATACGAATGGTCTCAAGCATATGAATGCTGTAAGCAGCTGAACAGGAAATGCATACAATCAGCTTACACTCCTGGCAATCAGCATACAATCCAATTCCCCCAATAACGAGACGACACTTCGTTTTGAGGTCAAGCAGATTTTATTCACAATCCACAAACATAGTACTGCCCACAGGGTTTTTGAAAACAACCAATAAACACGTACAATACACTCAGACACTCCCACACAAAATCCTCCCCTCTGCCTGTGATACAATTACCTTACACAATGGGTAATTTAATTATCACAGGCAGAGAAATACAGTTTTTCCACATTATTCATAACTTTAAAAGTATGCATCACATTCACATAAAACTTACGTTTTCCGAATCAGCATACTCCAAATACAAACATATGTCCAAATTGGTCCATTGGTTCAAAAGATAGATCGAAGTCCTTTGTGACCAAATTAGGCATGGCTTTTCTGCCCAAAACCAGTTCCACAGAGTCTTCTATCCTGGAGATAATTGAGAAGTAATCCAATTATCTCCAAGGACAGAGGCAAAACTCCATTAAGCACATGGCAGTAAAAAGACAGTAAAATACAATCAAATACACAAGGTTACATTTATTACATAAAATACAGACATGTAACATATCCCCAGATAGCTTAGTTCTGAGCGCACATTATTACTGAATGGCGATCAGACCACACCCATACAGTTCAATTGCCATGGAGCCAAAGTCTTTTATTACACGAATAGGCTCCATGGCATAGCTATCTGGGTTAAATGAGTTAATTCAGTAAATCCGAGAACCTACCGAACGCCAGGGCAGAAATACATGAATAGACCTTTCTGCATAGGAAAATAAAGTATTTAAATGCCGGTCCATAGTAAAAAAGCAGCAGGCAGGCAACCAGGCTCCTCCAGTGCACAGTGGCGAGGATGGTTCCGCCACAGTGTCTACAGACATCCAATCCACACATAGTGTCTACAGACATCCAATCCACACATAGTGTCTACAGATGCCCAATCCATACATAGTGTCTACAGACGCCCTTTCCACACATAGTGTCTACAGACGCCCAATCCACACTAAGTGTCTACAGACGCCCAATCCACACAGTGTCTACAGTCACCCAATCCACACACAGTGTCTACAGATTCCCAATCCATACATAGTGTCTACAGACACCCAATCTACATATAATGTCTACAGACCCCCAATCCACACATAGTTTCTACAGACCCCCAATCCACACATAGTGTCTACAGACATCCAATCCACACACAGAGTCTACAGACACCCAATCAATACATAGCGTCTACAGACACTCAATCCATACATAGTGTCTACAGACAATCCACACATAGTGTCTACAGACAATCCACACATAGATACATACATACATACAAAAGTAATTAGGTTTGTTGTGTTCACTGGAGGAGGTCTGCTGTGAAGAGTCTTTCCCAGAGCTGGAATAAGAGGCAGTCTAATGGTCATTTAATACATTTAACTTATACAGGGTATGAAAAACACATAATGTGACACAACCGGCTCCAGCCATTACTTCCTGTTTAAAATGTTATAGAATAAAATAGCGACTCCGTCGCGTTAACAGAAAATGATTTAATTTCCTCTGCTTAGATCTTCCTAATGATTTTGTTATTATCTTCCAGATGAATGCATGACAGAAAACTAGATGGTGAGTATGGCTCAGAGCATCAGGTCTCCTGGTGTGATCGTAGATCCCAAGAAAACATGGCATTTAAACAAGCAGAAAAATAGAGAATTGTATTTCAGCAGTTAGTAAACGCACTTTGTATAAAGTGATTCTATCCAATTTATTGTAAACTGATTTTCGTGGAGATAAAATCATGACATGCGAAAATTAAAACAAACAAAACAGACATCTAAACAGTATTAGCGGACTCACATGTTACAGGACAGTTAGCCCTGCTCTGTTATACTGGGATCCACAGGGGAGGTCAGAACTTAAAGGACCACTCTAGGCACCCAGACCACTTCAGCTTAATGAGGTGGTCTGGGTGCCAGGTCCAGCTAGGGTTAACCCATTTTTTCATAAACATAGCAGTTTCAGAGAAACTGCTATGTTTATGAATGGGTTAAGCCTTCCCCTATTTCCTCTAGCGGCTGTCTCATTGACAGCCACTAGAGGCGCTTGCGTGCTTCTCACTGTGAAAATCACAGTGAGAGCACGCCAGCGTCCATAGGAAAGCATTAATAATGCTTTCCTATGTGACCGCCTCAATGCGCGCGCATTCAGCCGACGGGGAGGAGAAGAGGAGGATCGGAGGAGGAGAGCTCTCCGCCCAGAGCTGGGAAAAGGTAAGTTTTTACCCCTTTCCTCCTTCCAGAGCCGAGTGGGAGGGGGACCCTGAGGGTGGGGGCACCCTCAGGGCACTATAGTGCCAGGAAAATATAGTGGTCCTTTAATGCCGCACTCACAGTCGCCATTGTGACGGAGCTCCCGTACTCCGACTGAGTATCTCCACCAAGTCAGCTTCCTCTCTGCCACCAGGGACTCTGGAGAACTTCAGAACCAGTTGCCGATTTTTCTCCTCGTTTGTTGCAAAATTTATTTTTTTGCCTTCCTTTCGATCAACAGCAAAAACAGATGTGAGAAAAGCTGAACTTGATGGAATCAAGTCTTTTTTCAGCCTATGTAACTATATATGTGGGTTGTGAGAACAGGATTTAATCTCCTACTCTGGTCTCCACACTACAGATAATTTAATTTAAGAAGTTCCCCCGTTTGCTCATATATTAATTTCCCAATGTAAACGCTTTGTTTTGTATATTTACACTGCGAGTAGTTTAGATATCCAGTACTCTCTACATTGAAATATTAAGCAGGATTGATTCTATTACAATATGAGCAGAATACTCATTACTGATTGGGATTGGATTATTTTAATCATTTCCTCTCTCGTTTCTCTTTCAGATCAAAAGACGCACCGCCTGGCATTTCCTCTAGATGGCGAGCACGTAGTGAGCTGCATTAGTACCATGCTTTGTTCAATAAATAAAAATCTGCATGAATCTCTGAGACTGACTGCGCTTTATTGAAACACACACATTTACAAATAACCACAGACTGATATATAGAAAAGATTAGACGTTATAGAGCAGCATACCTCCCAAGTGTCCCTGTTTAGGAGGGACAGTCCCTACTTCTGACTCATAACCCCCGTCTCTCTTTTGTCTCCTAATGTCCCTCTTTTCTATGAGCTCCATATTGTTGGGTGTGTCTGTGTGGATAACAAAGCTCCACAGCAATAATACTCCCAGTAATGTGTCTGAGTGTATAACAGAGCTCCACAGCAATAATACTCCCAGTAATGTGTTATAACAGAGCCCCACAGTAATAATACTCCCAGTAATGTGTCTGAGTGTATAACAGAGCTCCACAGCAATAATACTCCCAGTAATGTGTCTGAGTGTATAACAGAGCTCCACAGCAATAATACTCCCAGTAATGTGTTATAACAGAGCTCCATAGTAATAATACTCCCAGTAATGTGTCTGACTGTATAACAGAGCTCCATAACAAATGGATAGACTGTGGGCTGAAAGTTTGAACTGTTCTTGATATTTGCACAGTCGTTATTCGGCATGTGCTATAAACCTTAAAGGGACACTATAGTCACCTGAACAACTTTAGCTTAATGAAGCAGTTTTGGTGTATAGAATATGCCCCTGCAGCCTCACTGCTCAATCCTCTGCCATTTAGGAGTTAAATCCCTTTGTTTATGAACCCTAGTCACACCTCCCTGCATGTGACTTGCACAGCCTTCCATAAACACTTCCTGTAAAGAGAGCCCTATTTAGGCTTTCTTTATTGCAAGTTCTGTTTAATTAAGATTTTCTTATCCCCTGCCATGTTAATAGCTTGCTAGACCCTGCAAGAGCCTCCTGTATGTGATTAAAGTTCAATTTAGAGATTGAGATACAATTATTTAAGGTAAATTACATCTGTTTGAGAGTGAAACCAGTTTTTTTTTTCATGCAGGCTCTGTCAATCATAGCCAGGGGAGGTGTGGCTAGGGCTGCATAAACAGAAACAAAGTGATTTAACTCCTAAATGACAGTGAATTGAGCTATACACTAAAACTGCTTTATTTAGCTAAAGTAATTTAGGTGACTATAGTGTTCCTTTAAATTTAAATAAGACACAGATTATACTGTTGGAGTATAACCTAATCCAGCCCCTAAAGTCCTTGCACCTGCCCACTCTCTGGCTCTGTCGAGGCACACTCCCCCACTGCGTTGTTCCATGGGCTTCATGACATTTGCACAGTCGTTATTCGGCATGTGCTATAAACCTTAAATTTAAATAAGACACAGACACAGATTATACTGTTGGAGTATAAAGTCCACAGCTTTATTAAATTAATTATAATAAATTAACATATTTAGGGTCATTGTCCTAATAGACATTATGTTACTATATCCCCGCACAGTACCCCTGACAATGACCCTACCAACTGAACAATAAATAACAACCAAATAACATTTAACTTGAAACACACTGTAGCGGAGAGATGATATTCCACAGCCTATCTCCACTCCAGATCCCAGTGAGGCTCAGGAACAAGTATTAGAAATCCATAAGGCAATAATTCCAGCAGGCAAAACAATCCAATAATATCCCAACACCAATCCCAATGACTGGACGACACACAGTAACAGGAGAAAAACTGAACTTTTAATCCACACAACCTTCTTTTAAAGCATTCTCCCATGCAAGGGAGGGATTTACAGTAATTACACAATACACCAGTCATACACGAGTTGCCACCCACACATCCCCTCCCCTTAGTATGACACAATATCCCAGTATGCAGGACACAGTTCCCCTTTTTTTCTGGATGTACCCCTAAACATAGGGGTACCCTTTTAAATATTACATCCCCTGGTAGCCCTGATCTGGGTGAGACACATATCCAAAAATCACCCAGATCGGACCAGGGGTTCGGGAAATTCCTGGACGTATTAAAAAGACCGACCGCGCTGGAGTTAACAGCCGAAAAGGGTTCCATACATTTTGGCCCTGTGGTTGGTCACAGAAAAGGGAATGAAACACACGAATGGCTTGGGTTATGAGAACTGGGGAGGATTCGGGTAAATCCCCTTGTTCGTGGGGTTCCTTCTACCGAACGGGGAGCCGTTCGGTAGTTCTTACACGAATTGGCGGCAGTATGGAGGTCTCAGCACCGCTGTTCGAGAGTTTAACCCCTTAAGGACCAAACTTCTGGAATAAAAGGGAATCATGACATGTCACACATGTCATGTGTCCTTAAGGGGTTAAGATGGCCGCCGCCACGTGTTCGGCCACCCAGAGGACAAAGTACACACTGCATGAATTGCCAATTATCCGTTTGCAACTTATTCCTGGGGTGGTCTGATTGTTCGGTAGTTTCACTTGCATAATAACTGGAGTGATTTTATCAAACAATCAGTCGAATGCTGCATACACTTGACATACACATGGCAAAATTAAACCAAAAACATATGAATATACATAATTCTGAGGACAGCCCAATGCCATCCATTACAAACACGGCCTACCAAAGAGGCCCCATATCATACGGTTAACTGTAGGGGTGTACCCAGACACCCTTACACCCCAAGGTTCGTAGCCACTGAAGAGCTAGAACCTACCAATACTTAATTCCTTCCGGCCTACTCCAGCCTAGACCTTGGCCTGTCCAGTTCCAATTCCACGCAAAATTCCAACCCTGTTCCGCCACAGCACATGGCTTGACCACCCTTAATAACATGTGCGACCCCCACCACACTGAAACAGGGCCTGGGCTATGTCCTCCTGAAAACCCAGGTTCAGTAAGTCACTCCCTACATCTGACAAATGTATTCTGTCCCTCCTGAAATATCCTGGCAACATGCCCTCCAACTCCCGGTGTCGTACCACTACTCCCCCCAACCGTCTGATAAAAACTGCCATATTCTTTTTTTTTTTTACATTCTTTATTTGTATGTAGTAAGGTTACAATACAGGTCAAATCATATCAAGAGACACGGTATAACAGGTTTCGCAAGACCCCTAAACCTTATGCCCAACAATATTTGTAGGGTTTCATTCCTAGGTTTTCCCCCTCTCCACCCTCCCCCCCCGCCATATTAGCTCCTTCCCCCCCACCAACCCCCCCCATCCCCACCAGTCTTGATCAGGCCTCATTTCTCCGTTTCTTAGACCTAGTGATCTTAGTAGACTTTTATGTTGGACCTGCCTTTTAGAGGGGAACACCATTCCCCGACCAACCCCGAGCCTATTTGCCTTATAAAGTGGGGCCCGCCGTGATCGCTGTGGCTTGCCTTTCGTCCGGCGTTTAGCAAGTGTTCCACCATGTGCGTGGGCATATATTGTAGTTGGCGAGGTGCAGGACCTTGTTTAGCTTGCAGCGTGGGAGCGAAGCTCCTCTGGCTCGAACAGGGGTTGGTGGTCCCCCTGGGTCCAGATGCGGTCCCCGCGAGCCCCCCTCGGTGGTATTCTGAGTCGTTCGGGTGTAATGCCCGTGGTCCGGCACCCCCCCCCCTCCGATGAGTTGTTGATTTAACCTTGGCCGGGCTGTCTTCGGCCTGCCTGCTATCTGTGGCTATCATGTGTTTACTCCGGTCAAGGTCCCCTTTCCTCCCCTGTCGGTCACCTTCGCTTCGTCGTTGGGGCATGTGGAGAGAGAGAGAGAGAGAGTGAGAGAGAACTGCCATATTCTTTACCCCTACATTGGGCTACTGCAGCCGGGTCCCTGGCTTGCCGCCATGTAAAGCGAGGCACCATCTCAGACCACACCACCACCACGCCAGGGACCAGCTCCTGCAGCCGATCCATGTCCCTCTTCATCCTCCGTACCAGTTCTCGTTGGTCGTTCCCCCCGCCGTGAACCAAAACCACATCAGGGACCAATCCCTGAACACCAAACCATGATAACGCAACCCGATCGAGAGGAAAGCCCAGCTGTGATCCGCTTCTTCTAACTGCGGCTCTATTCTGCGCCCAGTACACATATGAGTGGCCAATCAACCAAACCTTCCAACCTGAAAAGAAACAAAATTAGTTGTATGGCAGAGACAACTTCCCCCTTTCCAAGCCCCCTTTGTTCCTCTGATTCACACCAACCTATCGGGCCTCACGTACGAGCGGAATCGCATGGATTCCCACCTCCCAATCAACTTGATCCGCTCGTCCCCCAAACCTAAACGTGCCGCCACCATTGCCACCCCTATACGGAACAAGTGCGTCCCAAACGGTTTGGGCTCCAAGCCCAGCCTCTGTAAACCTAAACGAAAAACATATATGAACTGAACGGATAGTGCCGTGCCATCGGCGTGCAAGAAAAAAGCATCCTTTGACCCTTGAACGGATGTCCAAGTACCGCGCGCCGCAAGCCACCGGGCATGTCCCTGAACCCGGTAACTCGTACAACACCACCGAGCAACCTTTGCCGAAAACATCAGTTTTAGAACAGCCCAGCCTTATCCACACTTCGTTGTTACCTATTTCCACGTCTTCGAGCTATAATCTGCCAACCCCCGCCTTGTTGGCACTGACCAACTCCCCTATCCGGAAAGCCCCAAAAAACGCCCAGACAAATGCTCCCGAAAACAGCGCTACTTCGAATAGAAGTATCCCAGGCAACGTCCCCACCGGCCCCTATAGTACTACGAACGACACCGGTCTCCTCGTGTCCACTGACTTCTTCCCCCTCCAAAAACCCCGTACTGCCTGTCGTACTAAAAAATCCTTCGTGATGTCTTCCCACCCATTGAACTTGAACAAAAAGGCCAAGGCTGACATATGTCTGTCCACCATGGCCGGCGATGCCTGTTTCGCGAACAAGCGACACAGTAACCACAAAAATATGTCCAACCGATGGCCTACCGAAAGATCGCCTCCTACCTGTTGTAGTGTCTCCTCCCACTCCTTCCAAACCTTCACATAAGACGACCAACTGCTCGGCGCCAGAGAATTCCTTATATATTCCCCAAGCACAACGTCCCGAGTTGCCACATCACGTTCGGGCAAGCCTGCCCTTGTTCCTGTGCGTCCGGCGCTGCTTCCCTGGAATAGTTCCCACTGAAAATGAGAGAGCGCATCAGCCACAATGTTTGAAAATCCCGGGATGTGCCTAG